CATTTTAAAAAATCGGTTGAAATGCACCAGACCTATACGATGTAGAATGTTTAGGAGGGGAGTTAATCACCGCGACCTTACAGATCTATTTTGTGTTCCCCTTTCTTGAGTTATAACGAGTTATAACTCATCATACAATCTCAGGGCTTTAACAAAAGCCAGTATCTGAGGCGGCTCCACTGAGGCCAGCTCTCCATCCTCGACATCAGCCGTACCAAAGTTCTGAATTGTGTCGTATCGAGCGCTGTAGTCGGCATTTTAAAAAATCGGTTGAAATGCACCAGACCTATACGATGTAGAATGTTTAGGAGGGGGGTTAATCATCGCGACCTTACAGATCTATTTTGTGTTCCCTTTCTTGAGTTATAACGAGTTATAACTCATCATACAATCTCAGGGCTTTAACAAAAGCCAGTATCTGAGGCGGCTCCACTGAGGCCAGCTCTCCATCCTCGACATCAGCCGTACCAAAGTTCTGAATTGTGTCGTATCGAGCGCTGTAGTCGGCATTTTAAAAAATCGGTTGAAATGCACCAGACCTATACGATGTAGAATGTTTAGGAGGGGAGTTAATCACCGCGACCTTACAGATCTATTTTGTGTTCCCCTTTCTTGAGTTATAACGAGTTATAACTCATCATACAATCTCAGGGCTTTAACAAAAGCCAGTATCTGAGGCGGCTCCACTGAGGCCAGCTCTCCATCCTCGACATCAGCCGTACCAAAGTTCATAGCACGATCGTCTCGGCACACTCAGTGATACGGTGATCAGGTGTTTTCCAATGTTTCCCACAGAATCTGCATTCGGCGTTATTCCTCAGCTTCAGCCTACTGAGGTGTACGTTGAGGAGACAGTATCCTGTTAGCAACCCCGTGACAATCCGAAGATTGTTTTTACTTAAATCAAGGAAGATCTTTAATTTTTCTCGGTCGTAATTTCTGAGGAACTTTTTCGAATGTCTTAGACCGTTGGATGACTACTATTCCAAGTTACGGATGGAGTCTTCCAGGTTCTTCAGTTCCGCTTTTAGGTGGTTTCCGCTTTAAAACAGAACGATTCTGGTCCAGTTAGTTTGGTGGGTTCGCTCCTTTTTCAAGTTAGATCATTTGCTTTTTCATTGCCTTCTATCCCTTGGCGAGCGGGCACCCAGAGTAGGAGGGCTTTATTTTCTTTGCCTAATTTGTTTTGCCTAGGCATAAAAGTGAAATAAATTTACGCCTAAGCACAAAATCAAAGAATATCCCAAGCACAAAAGTACGAAAATATATTATTAAACTGATATAAAAAGTGTCAAATTCAACGAGCTTAACCATAGTTTCTCAATATATAATTATTACTTACAGGGTAAAAAGCATACTGCGCACTTGTCCGAAGCGCGGCGCGGTTTTTCACCGCGCTTCGCTTAAGTGCGTGGCAAGCTTTACTTTTAAATATATTTTTTTATAATTTGCAACGTTTAATTTAAAAAAAAAAATAAAAATTATCTGTGACATTTGAAAAAATAGCATTTGTAAAAATCACTTTTTGTACATCGCCTGTAACGGTTGTAACGTCAAAAGTACAGCCTCGACACAAAAAGTGCCAATTTTACTCCTAATAAAACATATTACAATCTAACAACTAATACAAACATTTATTGGCTCTTATCATAGGTATATTATTAAATACAAACTAAACAATATAATTAAAGCTTTAATCATTGCCTGGAAACTTATATGGTGAAATTTTGATAAAATAATTTAGTACTCACTAAAAACACGGTATGTCGCTAGTGGTAGGAAAAATATTTTTTAGAGGTTACTAGTTTATTTGGTTGCCTGTGATATGCATATACAGGGTGTTTCCTAATTAATCTAAAAAATAAAAAATCGTTAGAGAACGGCTTAAGGCGGGCTCTTAATAAGTATATTTATTTTTTTCTCGGCAACCGTTTAATGAACAAGAAAAACTCAAAAGATCAATTTTGTTGAAAAAGGATGGCCAGCCAAGAAAAAAATATATTTTCTTTAAAAAAGCAGTAGTGTACCATTTATGTTAAGCAAAATATCGATTTTTTTTTTATTTTTAACACCCTGTAGATCAGAAAGGAAGTACTTTAGACCTAATGGTTATATAAAAATTGTTTTAAGAACACATGAGGAATCACACCACAATTTTTTAGACTAATTAGAAAACACCCTGTATATTGTCAACTTGACAATGATTGTTGATAAATCAAAAAATACCTTTTCTGTGAAAAAAGCCCGATTTTCGCAGGAACAATTTTAGTTTTTATTGAATTTGGGTCTGCGTCTGCAAATACCGGTATGTTTTTTAATATTCTATCTATCTAAATTTTAAATATCATAGTCAGAAATAGTTTTATTATTTATTAACTGTAAAAATGGTATACTTATAAGTTTTATCAAATATTGTGATTTACTTTCTACCTTGTAGTCAAAATTTATATTTAATAAACTGTAAAATATATATATTCATATGTTTTATTAAAGTTACTCTGATATACTAATATATCAGTGTAACTTTAAAACTAAATCCTTTAAAATCAAATATAAACATAAAAAATATTTACAGCAGAAAAGGCGAAGGCGCTGGGTGCAACGTAGTCTCTACTAAGAACACGGAGGGGCGCTTTGACCCAAAATTTTACTATTAAGTTTCATATCTATCTTAATAGAAGATTATTTTCTTTTATCTATGGCTTTAATCTACGACAATGTCATTATGACACATTTAACATTGTCATTTGGATGTCATTATGGCTTTCATAATAGCCACGCAAATTTTAAAATAAGAAACAAGCAAAAAAAGGTACCTAAATACGTTTATTTATTGTAAACATTAATTATAATATCAGTACAATTGGTTAAATTAATTCCAGACGATGACAGGTGAGTTGAATTTTTAGAAAGTAAATTTATTTCCTGAGTGCTTGAACTTGTTGAAGACCCATCATTGCCAGAAATGTTACCCAAAATATTACATGACACTTTTTTCTTATTTTCTTTGGAATGTTTTATATAGCTCTCTGCCACTGTGTTAGAGCGCCAACCACCATGTCTTTTAACAGTTAATAAATCCACTCCTGAATCTGCAAGGAACGACGCAGACGATCTACGGAAACAATGTCCAGTGTATTGTTGTGGATTTGGTAGACTTAGGAACAATGCTATTTTATACGTCATTTTCCCTAAAGTATTAATGTCAACGGGTTGCTTAATACATTTTCCATTTCTGTACCCCACAAAAAATCGAGTATGCTCTGTGTTGCTTGGCCGCATAGCTATATATCTTCGAACCATTTCCACCATATTTATTCCTTCAACATTCCCTTTCGTTATAAAAGAATCTCGTGATATCTTTGTTTTCGTAAATGAAATAATGACATGAATGCATTATCCTTCATCTCTAACATTTTGCAACTGTAGATTTGTCAACTCGATACGCCGGCAGGCTCCCGCAAGTCCCACCATCAATGAAACTTTTGTCAGGAAATAAGTTTTATAATCGGCTGCCAACAGAAAACAAGTTATGTCTTCTTTTCTTAAAATTCTCGATTTTTTTCACCGAAATCCTTCCGATTATATATATATATATATATATATATATATATATATATATATATATATATATATATATATATATATATATATATATATATATATATATATATATATATATATATATATATTTAATTTTTATGAGAATATCTCTGATATTTTAAATTAGATCATATCTCTGATATTTTAAATTAAATCAAATCTCTTTGTTTGGTGTATTCAATTTTTATGAGAATATCTCTGATATTTTAAATTAAATCAAATCTCTTTGGATCGTCCCTCGTGTCGCGTCGTAGATTAAATTTTGAATGATACATGTTCGATACGTATCGAACTTGTATCATTAATAACTATTAAAAATAGCTAAAAAGTGAGGTATTATATATATATATATATATATATATATATATATATATATATATATATATATATATATATATATATATATATATATATATATATATATATATATATATATATATATATATATATATATATATATATATATATATATATATATATATATGTATTATATAATACTAATATCTGTATTTTTCTTCACTGATATAACTGAACGTAGCATGGAATAATATACCCAAAGTGATGAAGCCTTCCTATGTTTTGAAAGATGTTCAAAATATGCCAGGAGAACCTTTTCGTTACTACTATTCTTGATTCCTTTCCCTTTACACCAATCTTCATGTTTTACATAGGCTTGCTCGTACCTTGATTTTTCGGGAAGTAGGGAATCGACAACGTTTTGCGCAATGCCTTCAATATCCAAAGGGACACTTTCAGAATCAGAAGCACCCATATTAATATTATTATTTGCTTTTTGCTAAAACTGAACGTTTAACACAAAATTGAACATCAATAATTGAGTTGTCAAAGTCAAAATGGAAACAATCAACAAGCACGGTTACCACGGCGTCGACTAGTATGGGCACCCGATAATTTTGAATTTTAATTTTTATGAGAATATCTCTGATATTTTAAATTAAATCAAATCTCTTTGGATCGTCCCTCGTGTCGCGTCGTAGATTAAATTTTGAATGATACATGTTCGATACGTATCGAACTTGTATCATTAATAACTATTAAAAATAGCTAAAAAGTGAGGTATTATTAAACTAGTATTTTGCAAAAACTGTAATAAATATACAACAAATGTAACAATCTGCAAATTAGTTACATTTGCCCATATCTGATGAATATTTACAAGGTTTTTAAAAGCCGGCTTTCCTAGACATTCTCTTCATCTAGTTTTGTTTTGAATGAAATCGAATGAAATCTAAATGAAATTGAAAAGGACCTTTTGACCGATGACGAGAAGCGCCACACCATCAGCGAAATCCGGTCGGCCGCGACGGTCAAGTTTTCGGCCGCTTTTCCAAAGACCGCTCCGTTTTAGCCCCAAAAAAGTACGCCCGTCACGGGAGGCTGACGACGCCGCGACCTCCCCCGCACGCCGCGACGTCCCTACGTCATCGACGCCTCGAAGAAGACGGTCCAAAACGACGCCAACCGTCCCGACGCAGTCAGTGCCGAACAGCAGTCGCAGATCTCGACTCGTTTTTTCGCCAACTTAGTAGGTTAGTAGCAAAAAATCCCAATTCTAAAATCAAAAGGATTGAAATTACAAATGAAAAACTAATTTTCAATGCGAGAAAGTGTTTTTTTCTTAGTATTGAGTGCCTTTTGAGCGCATAAGCTCGTACGTGAGTATATTAGAACTAAGGTTATATGAAAACTACAAAGGTTGAATAATCCAGGATTTAGAGACCTTTTTGTTTACAAGGAATATTTTAAAGTATTAAAAAATATTTATTTAGTTTCTTATAATTATTTTGTAAGTGTATTTTCTGTGACATTTTGAATAGAGCGTTTTCATTATAAAGTTGATACATTAAATCTCAATTATTTTATAGGAATTTAAATCAAAATTATTTTTTCGATATAAAAATGATTGAATATTTTTAGAATTTAGTAAATAACGTATATACTTACATATTATTAGTAAATTTAAAAATAATTTCAGAATACTAAATTTTTGAAACATCGTTATATTGACATGAATTTAAATATATTATAATAATTATCTTACATTTATTATTAGTTTTAGTTATGCTTTTGAGCTTAAAATACTTTATATAACGATAATTATGCTGACTCACACCTTGGACATCTTTACGTTAAGGACCGTTGTTAAAGTTACTTAAGTTAATATATTTCTTTAAAATATTAAATGGAAATATTAAAACAAATTTCCAATGAAAATCAAGAAGGTTGTTTTCCCAGTATTCTATTTTATTTATTTATGTTTTGATTGGCATTACTATATTAGGATAATTGACGTAATAAGGTCATTTTTAATGACTTAAGATGAAGTCTACCGACTTTTTTATAGCTGTGAAGGATCTTTACAGGATTGTTACGGGTTTTCAGTAAAATTATATTCAAAGGAGAATGTTTATGTAACATTTTCTATTAATAGAAATGTATCCAGGGGCTGGCTTTTGATATTTAATATGGAGAAAAATGTTCGTTATTTACTTTATTTATTCATATTATATCAATAATTAGATAACATAATATACTTATTTTATACAAATTAATTTCTTGCCATTATTAAACAGTTACTAAATTAGAAAATTGTTCTTTTTATTTTATATTTTTCAATTTATTTAATTTTTATTTGTTGTCCCGTCATTTTTTACAAATTTAATTACAATGATTATTTTCTATAATTTATATTTAAACTAACTATGGCGTATAGTTAATAAATATTATTCTGTATTATTGAATAAATATATGATATCACAGTATATTACAGTTGAGGGTTGGAACCTTTGGTGTTACACAGCAAAATAAAAACACTAAATCACCACAATACACCAAAACACTTTTACTTTTACACTGGACGCGCGTTTCGCTACCCATGTTAGCATCATCACCAGATGATTATAAACTAAACTGGTTTATAATCATCTGCTGATGATGCCAGTTTTGCCACTATGAAACCAGTTTATAATCATCTGCTGATGATGCTAACATGGTTAGCGAAACGCGCATCCATGGTAAAAGTAAAAGTGTTTTGGTGTATTTTGGTGATTTAGTGTTTTTATATCACAGTATACGTAGAAATAACGTTTTCGTTCAAGCTTTATTTTATTTCTTGACAAAATCTTTAGTATTTCGTCACTAAAATATAAATGTAGAAAGACTAGAAAGTAAAACAGTTAGTTTTTGATGCTTAGCCAATGAAAAATACATAAGGTTTTAGCGGGTCACATGTCGGCAGAAGCAAAAAAAACAAAAAGAATAAAGAAAAATTATTTAAAACATCCAAAGACTACTACTGAGAAGACGTTAGGTTTTCAACAACAGCACATCAAATCAAACTTAAAATTAACAATTACTACTTGATTTTATTAATATTAAGTATTCTGTATATTGTGTTCGTTTCAACTTTGTCTACGAAACATTACCTATACCTATAGCTTTCAAAATAATTAAGAAAATTTGTTTTATAAATTTATCACATGAAAAATTATCAAATTAATTAATGAAACAATTAATCGATTATATCTTATTAAAATAAATAAAACAAACCATTTAAATCTCACTTCCTATTAATAGTAAGGCATCTCGTAAAGGTCTTCCTTCCTTAATTACATTGACGTACTATACGATTTGACTTTGGATATTGTGTCTTTTTTTTTCATGGATTAGATTCCAGAAAACTTGTTTCATTTCTGAATTAATATATAATTTTCGTGTTACATGAAAAAAATTCTTGTAATGTATTGTATTACTGTAGAATATAACATATCTAACTAATCTCCACAACCATATGTATTTATAGAGAGTTGTCAAACTTATATGTTTAACAGTTGCATGTTAATTGATTTTTTTAATAGTTATTATTTTTTCTCCTTATTAATATTTTTAGTTATTTATGTCCTATTTTTTAAATAACATTTTTTAAATTGCACAAAAAAATATAACTGGTATCGTAAATGCCTTTCAAGCTGTCAATCGAGATAAAATTCTTAACCATGTTTGTCAACTTTCTCTAAAATATTAACAATGTTATTTCACTTTAGAGCTTAGGAATATAAGACATTTGTCACAATTTTGACCGGTATTAGCGTAAGCTGATGTATACGAAAAAAAAAATCGATGTCAATCTTGTATGTTTTACTGTTAATACTAATCTTACTTATTCCTAGAAGCTACATAAAGAAATTAGTCAAGATTCCGTATTTATCTTAATTATTGATAAAAAAAATAATGTGCTAATATTATCTATTGATAAAAATGCTGCTTTCATAAATATGTAAAAGCCGAAAAATATAGATTGAGTACTTGTCTGAAAGTGATAGACCACGAGTGTTTCAAATACGTCTTGAATAGCTAACCTGGCTTCAAATACTGAAATAAACATGTACAATTGCCTTTTAAAGCACGCTTGAACCTTCAAGTCCATTCCACTATTTTTGAGATTGACTGATTTGAAGGAACTGGTTTGGAATCGAATAAAATATGGATCAAATCTCGCTGCAATTAATATGAAATAAATGATTGCGGAGAAGGATTGAGATTGAAGCCTGGCTTCAAGTGGAGTTTGCTTGACACAGTCGAAATAAACATGGTCATAGACAATGGTGAATTCTTACATATAATATCTTCGTTTTCTTAGACTCGTGTACTTGGCAAGTATTTTTTGTTGGCCTACAGGGTCTGGCGGGAGTGCGGCGTAGTTCCTATAATAAATAACTTAGAAATTCTGTATAGATGCCCGACGCACCGTGTATACCCTGTATACCAATTACTAATGTTTGTCAAGTACACAAGTCGTGAGAATGCGCCTTAAGACGAGGTTACTGACCGATGTTAAATGAATTGGCGCATGAGAAAATCACTGATGATTTCAGGTGCTCATAAGCATATGGGTTCATGATTTCCGTCTTTCACAAGTTCTAAATGTCAATTCTGGGCTGACTAATGGTGTTCGGATGGTTGGATGATTTGATGAGTTTTGACTTTCCTCCTAAATTAGTATTGTTCCCCATTATTTACTTTAGATTCCTGACACTATACCGTGTGCTGATTGCTCCACTCATGTTCTACGATACATCTGTGCTGTTGCTACATGTTTCTGATGTCCCTCAGACTCGTGTTGATGAAAATCTCTCTTCATTTATAAGTTGCACCATTCTCACATGGAATTTTCTAAATGCTATTGTGTTGGTCTATGATATTTTCAGGTTTTGATTTGCTTTGGAATTGCTTGAATACTTCTTAATGTTCAGAATATTCTAGACCATTTACTTCTTTATGAAATTAGGATAATACTTCAAAATAATAAGTTTTTATTAATTCAGTAGACAATAGTTTACTCTCTCTTAAATTTACATATTTGTTGTTTTGTGGCTGAGATAACATCATCATCATATAATATATAAATTATTCACTGGATTACATAACGAATAATATACAAGGACTATTTTTAAAGGGCAGCTTCTGAAACTGTTTTGTTAAGACTCAAGGTGGCGTTTTTTGCTAAGACTCAAGGTGGCGGTTATCTCTGGTGGCATTTTCAAGGGTACCAGAATAATTGAATTAATTTCAAACGATATTTTTTAAATACAGGGTGTCCCAGAAATAAGTGCAAGTATTTTAACTGGTAGTATATTTTGGCCTCAAAAACAGGCCTATGAGGTATTTTTTTGCGAATTTTTTTTCAAAAATTTTTTTTTAGTTTTAAGTTAAAAAACGTAAATTCTTGATAATATGGCAACATAGGTAGTAGCTTAAATTTACATGAAAGAAAATCCAGAAAAGATCCAGTGGTTCTCAAAATTTTAGTAAAAAATCAAATAGCGATCTAATAGCATTTTTTGGAAATTTTCAAAGTAAAATAACTCAGTTATTTTGGACTTATTTGAAAAACGGTAAAGAGAAAAAATGTTTCTTTTGACCAGATCTAGCACCACTTAAAATACTTGCACTTATTTCTGGGACACCCTGTATAAATTTTTTACAAAGGTTTTCAAAAATAGATAGATATTTCTATATAATAGATATATTATAGATAAATATTTCTCATACAATGTATGCACGGTGTATTTTAGCGATTTTTATTATTTTTTTCTGAATCGTATCAGTTCAGTGTCTATTTTAAACCTGGCCGCGGCTCCGTTCTACAAAAATAGTAGCGGCGAAGCGAACCATTATGTAAATTTATTATGTTAGCGAAATTTTATACGATAATTTGTTTTTCTCTCTTACGAAAAGGTTTTTCTCGGAAATTTTTGGCAGTCAATCCTACACGAACGTTGCTAATTATGTAGCGATGATATTGGAGAGGATCTGCTCCACGGAAAACTTGTAAATTGTTATTTGCTTTTCTCATTCATGGTTCGAAAATTTGGCAAAATGTACTATGAAAAGGCTGTAGTTTTTTCCTTAATATTTCTATTATATAAGTAATATAAATTAATTTAAATTCATTAGGTAATTTAATAATTAGATTAAATCTTTACATGCCAATGAATTATGTATACAGGATGTCCCAGGCTGATCATTA